CACGGTAAGATATCGATCGATAATACTTAATAAATTAAACTTTGAAATGCATAGTGTTTTAAAACAGAAACTAACAGTAGGTTTAAAAAATATATATTTGGGTGTAATGTAAGCCTAGCCTAAATGTTTTGAATTGAAAGTGGTCAAGGTTGGAAACAATAACGAAAATAGAAATGTAAATTGATATGATGTAGCTTATTATTTATATGGGTTTGTTACGCCATTTATTTTAACAATGGGAAATTACAAAAAAAAACTTTCACTAAAATGGAAAGAATAAAAAATTAAAAAATAAGAAGTGCATTTTAAGACAATCTATAAGATATGCAAGCCAAAATACTAATAATTGAAGGTCGATATTTAAGGGGGAAATTTTTGGGTCCATTTTAACAAGAAAACTTCATACGAACGTATGTCTTAAACGTCTTTTTGAGATACGATACAGGGTGGTATCTCAAAAAAGACGTTTAGGACATACGTTCATATAAAGTTTTCTTCTTAAAATGGACCCAAAAATCACCCCTTTAAATATTGATATTCAATTAGAAAAAGAAAACATCCTGTATGTAGAAATTTACACAACATTACTATATCTTATAGTTTCTGTAGTTTATAGAATATTTTTCAGAATCTTACTATTAGAATAGGGTGAAATAATAAAAACATTAAAGAAAAGGAAGTTAAATTGAATTGACTGGTCAAAATGGTACCACAAGAACATTATCAATTTGAAAAAATGACAAATAATTATGCAGTGAAGAGTTGATCTTGCAATCAATTCTTCGGACCTGCTTTACTTGTGTTGAACTAAATAATAAATGGCGTTGGCATACGCAAGAGAAGAAACAATATAGTACCGATGTTGCTAGTTACAGTTCGGTAGGAAAAAAATGGGTCCATGTGTGGAATCTCAAAGTTAAAGGTCCCAATGAACATTCTAATACAAAGAATAAATAGCAATTTTTTTGTAAAATTTGTTGTAAATATTTAAAGAATATTATTATTGTGTATAAACAATATTTAAGAGTAAATCTGCTTCGGCATTTCAAGATAATATATCTTAACAGATTTTTTTTAACTTAGACGGTGCAAATGTGAAATAATTTTCAGAATAATGTTTCGCGAAAAATAGAAGAAAAAAAATCACCTCAAGTTTAAAATCACAGTGTGATGATGAATCTGTACATTAATATAATTCGAATTCATTAAGTAACCAAATCGCAAAAATGTATTGTTTTCTAAATGTTTATTATTATAAATTTTAGTAATCTTCGCCTACATATATAGGGTAATACAATAAGGCAAATTTAATCAAAAAGCTGAATTAACTTAAATCCGAAGTTAAATCTAATTATATGCTTGGATTAAATTAATTTTTAAGTATTTATTTGATAAGTGTATGAAAAACTGCAGATAATTTAAAAAAAAAACGTGACAGAAAATATTTTAAAATTTGTGTACTTAAATTGGTCGATTTTAATCACTTATCGTATACAGTGTGTCCGTAAAGTATGGGATAAATTAAATAAATTAATTTTTAGCCAAAAGTCCTTGTATAAGGAAATTCCCGAAACAGGTCGATTTTTTTTCTTGTCACCCTATATATAGGGTGGGACATAAAGCTACCACTTATTGTAGAGGTCAAAATAAGTCGATTGGACTAAATTTAAATGGTTACGTAAGTTGGCGATACGTGGAAAACCTTTTTATTATTAATTTTAGAGAAAAAAAAAGTTATTTATAAAAAGTTGTGCATGGTCTTAAAACATACAAATATTTTATCAGTCGTATACGTTGTGTATAAAAAATAAAAGTACTTTACTCTAGAGCAATCATATTTTTTTTTTGACAAACCTCGTATACGACTGATAAAATATAATATCGGATTATTGAATTTTAGGTATTAGACCATGCACAACTTTTTTTTCCATATGCCGTCAACTTACGTATATAAAAAAATGTCCGTGAGTAAAGTTCAAAGTTTACTTAAAAAATCACATTTTGTACGCTGTTCAGAAATGCGTGAAATAAATTTAATGAAATTTTGCAAAAGTATGTTTTTGAAGATTACCCTATTGTTAGTAATCAAAGAAACCCAAAGAAAATTGTAGAAGAACTAAAACCACCAATTTTTTAAAATTTCTTAGCTGTGGGAATACTGTTATAAAACTTTTTAAACGAAAAGGATTGATTCATTTTTTGACTCTTATTTCGCATAGTTTCGAAGGAAAAATATATTTTCTTAAATACTGATAACCGACATTCTTATTTACTACAGTCTATTATTTATCGATTTTTCACAAGAATAACTCATAACTCATTTTAAAGTATATTTAAGCTCAATAACTAAAAAATATACTGATTAGTTTGACAGAACTCTCACTTTTATAAAATTTAAAAAAATAATAGTAGCCCCGTGACCAAAATATGAACTGTGCTTGGTGGACTTACTAGGTAGAATGGATATGAAATTTATTCGTTCAGTTGAACTTAATGGCCTACTATTTCGTTTTGTAGTCTAGTTAATATGCATGTTGGTGTGGAAATAGTATATTACATTACGAGTGTGGAAAATCACTTTTCACACAAGCGATGTACAATATTTTTCCTACAACCACAAAATAATTTCATCAAAAAATGTAAAACCAGATTATTATAATAATTAAAATGTATTTAAAAAATAATCAACAATAATCGTATTTATTGAATTTTTATAATTTCTAAACAAATATAACAGGCCTTACGGTAATTGATTGATCTAATCGCTTATGTGTTTAACCAGAATAAAAAGCAAATATATCTTAGTTATTTTAAAATTATTTTAATAATAATTGTTAAAGATAAATATCTAGGATCTAATTTACAACAATTTCAATAATTTAACAATCATATCGACTTTAGTATTAATATGGACATTACATAGATCAAAATAGAAATTATGTGTTTGACATTTTCTGACAGCTACTGCGGAAAGTAGCATATTCGTACGCGGGTGGAAAGTAAATTCTTATTCATACGCGTGTGATATAGGGCACTTTCCATTGGACTATATAGTGTGATATGTGTCACTTTCCTAAGTGGTCCTAGGAAAAAAAATTTTTTTTACACCCACATGGATATTAGTTGTACACATTATCTAAAAAATGAAAAAGTATGCCATTGCCTTCAACTGAACGAATATATTTAATATCTATTCTACCTAGTAAGAACACTGCAGAAGAAGTTAAATCCACTAATCTCAGTTCATATTTTTTTAAATTTTATGTAAGTAACAATTCTGTCAAACCAATTGTTAGTATATTTTTTAGTCATAGAGATTAAAGTTACGTAAAAATGAATTATTATTATTATTATTATTATTATTATAATAATAATAATAATAAAATAATAATAATACTCTCCCTAATTCACCCCCTTACGAGTGAATTTTAACCCCTGAAGCTGACTGAGCGATTTGTGTAGGGGAAGGGTGACTAATATTATTTTCCGTGGCGCTCCGGGGCAACTTATAGATGATTAATGGTGCCATTTGACTTACATGTGAGAAAAGCACTGAAAACCCCACCCACCATCATCGAAACGGTAACGCATGGCGATATTCTTGTGTAAAATCAATAAATAATAGCATTTCTATTTTTATTTCGTCCACATTTACAAATAAATCATAAATTTTTAATCAAACTATATGAAACTAACACTTTAATTACGAATATTAAAACTAAAATGGTAAATGTGGCGATGGAGGTGAGAACGGGCCATTGGCTTCCATGCGAGAGGCATGGGTTCAAATCTGTGTTGAGGACTACTTGAATTATATTTTTTTTTTCATGATTATTTTATTTTATAAATTATTGAGTCATAAATTATTTTAAATTAGTTATTTTGACTTTAACAAAATAATTTTTAAAATTTGTAGATTTTTCGTTAGTGGGTCGTAGAAAACATATACTGTACAACTCGAGTGGATGACCCATAGCCACTCTTGTTGTACAAACTACTATTTTCTTTCGAAACTGCGAAATTCGTAGTTTTTACAAGAGTAAAAAATGGAAGATGTAGAGTAAGCCTTCCCATTAAAAGTCTTTAACAACCCCTAAGAAAGTTGCACTGAATACAAACCTTATGTGTGATATACAAAAATTATATATACATAGGATGTCCTATTTAAACTTAGTAATTTGATTGAAATGAAAGCTTGAATGATTATTTGTAGAAATTTTCCAGAAAATATGATAAAAAATTTGGAGTTATACAAAACTGAACAAATAATGCATATAAATTTTAATTTGAACTGTAAAATTGTGATTTTTTTGAAATATATAAACAAAATTTGATATACAGGGTGTTGTTTTGAGTACCCGTTTCGTTCGACTTAAGAAATAAATTGGAAAAATCGACCAAACAACCTGTGTATCGGTTATGAAGGACGTGACAAACATTTTGTATGCTATACAGGGTGGTTAGTAAAAGTTCTAAATCAATTCACTTTTTTAATATTTTTTCTCCGATATTTATAAAAATTTCTTTGATATCGCAAAATATAAATTTTACAGGAGACAAATAAAATGCAATTTTTTAAAATATTAAGTGGCATTTTTTTGTACCATTATGCATTACCAAATTCTCAAGATCATTAAAATTGTGTAACCAATTCAAATTTCTATTAATTGGTCACCATGGAAAATATTGCTGCATATACTATTAGAAATAACAGAAAAATACATTTATTCAAAATAATTTTTATTCAGTGCTAGAGGGATATTATTTTAAATTTTTCAACAAAAACGCAGATTTCCAAATACTTATCAAATACCTAATTTTCGTTTAACAAATTAAAATAAACTACTAAACGAGAAATAAAAAAAAATAAAATTCATCACACCGTGTAAACATTAAAAACGTAGGGTTTATTTGTTAGTGCGCTAGAAAGCACAAACACGATAAATCAACACTGGATTTGTTCGGGAAGCGGTTTCTAGGGGGGATGGGACAAGACAAACCTTTCGCTTTCGTCGGCGGCTGCTGAGGCTTCGGCCAATTTGGCGGTGGCGGTGGCCAAACGTTCTTCCGAACGTTCCAAGTCTTCTTCCAAAAGTTGGATACGACGGTTGAGGGCGGCTACTTCTGATTCAGCCTGTAATAAACAGAAAAGGATGATTAACAAACCAGATTTTATCAGGAATAAAGTTATCCCAATCTTAAACGTGGTACGTCCAATAGGGAAAAGAAGTATTGACCACAAATATTTTAAAATTTTAACTTGTTTCTGTCAAATTTGATCATCATCAGACCAGTAAAAACCAGTAAATTTACAATTTACGCTTATATGGCGGTCTTTTATAAAAACGACGCCATCTTTTAATAGTCAAGTGCATAGTGTATGTGTGTCGAAAACTACTCGGACGCAATTTTTTGGTCAGAATCCTTAAAAAATATGCCGAATATTATATAAATACAGTTTGCCACGGGGTAATGTGGTCCAAATTTGTTTAAAACGAATTTTTTAAGAATTCCTGTTATTTTAAACGGGCCTTTTTCTTATATAAATTAATAAAAAGTCCTTTTTTTTATAAAGTGCATATTTTAGACGATGAATTTTTTAAGTTAAAAAAACACGATTTTTACCATTTTTTACAGCTTATGGGGTCTATTCTGTAACGTTTTAGTTAATTTTAACCGCTAGGTTAAAAGGTTATTTATAACTACGATGTTTAAATTTCAACCCAAATATGTATTCGATATTCAATCATTTTAATTTTGTGTTATTACCTATTTTATACTAATCCCAGTTAAAATAGACGACTAAAAGTGAATTGAGATTAAGCCCAACGCAGTTTTGAAAATAAGAAAAAGAATATATTTGACGTAAGATATAATTTATAACTAAATAATACAAAACTAAAAATAACATCCGGTTATTTAAATAACCCAGGGTTAATTTTAACCAAATTTTACAGAATAGATTCCTATAAATCTATAAAAATAATTGATATATTAAAAATATTTTTATGCTACGTTTGAAATATACCTCATCGAGCAGAGTAAATTTTTTGGCCACGTGACATCAAGAAAACCATATCAATGGAGCAAACGATGCAAAAGGGGCGGTATCGAGTAAAAAAAAGCAAAACGAGGTACTTTTCAAACGCATCATTAAATGTATTAGGAAAAAACAGGAATCACCGCAGATGAAACAGAAACAGAGAACCAAATTATTGTTCGTGATCATTTGGCACTAATATTAATTTGACAAAAATTCCTTGTACAGGGTAGTCTGATTAAGGACTCTTAGAGGCTGCATTTCAGAAACTTTATCCTACGGCGTTAAAAACAAATCACTTTTCCCCTTTAAATATAAATAATAGTACTATCCCTAGTTCTGGATGTCATATCAACAGAAATTAAATTTCTGCTAATACGGCATCCATCAAATCCTATAGAGAACCATGCAAATAAATTCACATGGTCTTCTATAGGATTCGAAGCCGGGTGTCTCTACCACAAAATTGCTCGCAAATGAATGCGGGCTCCTTAGTCGTCTACGCTACCGTCCCGACAATTTCCAATAGTATGATAATAATAAAAGAACGGTAATTTTGAGCAAAGTTTACAAAAGTTTTATCCAATATTTTTTGCTCTATTCAATCAAATAACTGGTAGGGGCGATTGGGAACCTCAATTTAATAAAATTATTATAACTACGGTGTTCGTTAATAAGATTTTGAAAAACCTATTATCGATTAAAAGCAAATTGATTGTTCAATTCTGACAAGAAATAGCATTTTCTTTTGACCTACCTACTTTTTTTTTTTTCAAAGTTCTAGTATAAATAGTTTATGAGATACAGACGTTAAAAGTCCTTAATCAAACACCCTTGTACATCGAATGCTTTGCATTTTATGAGCCTCTAGATTTTACAATGTTTGGGTACAAATTAAAAAACCAAACTCTACTACCAGTATTTTTTAACCAAAATCCACTGTCATAAAATATTAAAAAACCGTGCATTTGTCTGAAAAAAAAATTAAAATCAATGCATGTTACTGTAAGAAGAACAAACAGATGGGAATGGTTTGTTTGTAGTTCATCAAAACGCGCGCCGCGGTCACTAAATATAAAGCCGTTTTACACCTATATAATAATAAAAAAGAAATTAATAATTTTACTAATGCAATCTTATAATATCACTTTAATACAATATGCGATCAATTAATACATTTATAAAGAAAAGCTAAATTTAAATATTATAAATTGGTAAATCTGGCTTTGATTTAAATCATTTATAGCTGTAAAACTATACTGAGGTTCTTAAGGATGTCATTAACAAATAATAAATTTGCATTTTCATACACTGCTCCAAATTACAGAAACAAATATTTTTTACAGAAATTTAATAAGAAATTTTTTACCTTTAAGTCCATTATTACTTTTAGAGAGAAATGGTTTATTATATTATAAATCATTTTGATGAGAATGACTTTATCAGCAGTTTGCCATTTTTTAAATCACTTTACTTAGTAGTGTTCTACTTTACCGAATTATAGTTTAACAAAACGCGCTTAGCGCGCTGCTGTTGAGGTCAAGCAAACTTGTTACTGGGAAAACAGCTACCCTGGGTTGCATGTATACTTTGTTGCTGTGGTTTTAAAGACTGTTTAAATATAAATCATGAAAATGTGCATTTTTTTTAAAAATCTTACAGCCGATCGACAGAAAATATCCTATACGTCATTTTTTATTTTTATACAAATAAAAAAATCTTTGTAATATAGACTTTAACGGTGACACTGTATAATGGCATTGGATTCATAAGCCCTTATATCCTAAAAACAAAGGGTAATTTTGTTCTACCTTTTTATGGGCAGCCAATTCATCTAATTTATACATTCCATATTTAGATCTTTAAAAATCCTTCAAATAAAAATTTGCTAATAGGATTATAAAAGTCTGTATTTTATTGTCATTTTTATTTTATATTTTTTCAATTTTAATATTGTCCTACAATAAAATTTTGAATAATCTGTTGAAGAATATGTATTTTCCTTTCTTTATGTTTAATGTATACAATATAAATATACAATATACAATATTTTCCTATTTGAAAAAGTTCACTTAAAATCTCATTTTGATTTTCGTGTATGCATAGGAGTATAATGAGAAAAAGCAATATTTGCTTTGGAAATTAATTTTTTATCGTAATTCATTTCTCGCTTTAACCTTGATTAATTCAATTTTACAATTTGAAATCAATATCGTTACGGGTGTCTAAGTGAAGATGTATTTTGATATCGGACACTTAAATTACTCAAGATGCGTCATACAGTGATGTTTTAAAAACTCATATCTGCATTTAAACAAACTGAAAATGAAACACGAAGCAATATACACGGGTGAAATCGATTAATATAAACAAAAATTAGATTTACATTGTTTTATTATTTGTTAATTTCATTTCATTGATTTTCTTTCATTCTCAATTTCTGTTCAACGCATATAAGTTCATGAATTAGGGATCATTCCAAATTTCTACTCCAATTCCTGATTTTTATAGTTGTTATAATTTATTTTAGTTTATTTATGGCTATTCTTTATACTAATTTTCATTTTCATTTTTCCTACAGAATTAATAAATAAGAAGAGAAAAGCAAGAAAAAATGGCAAATCACCAGATTCCCCGAATTTTAAGTAATTCTCAACAGACTAACACAACACCTAAAAAGATATATAATCACTATTAAAAATGAATCCGTACACATATCTCATATCTCTGTGGTAAACGACTAGGAAACTTAAACGTCCAACAGACCACATGCCACCAATAAAAGAAGACAACGGAAACTGGACAAAATCAAATAAACAAAAAGCTGACATCTTTGCAGATAATCTCGAAAAAAATGTTCAACCGAATGAAGAACGAGGAGTCGGTTTATTAAAAGAACATAAACATAGCAGAAATTTCTAGGGTAACGCATTAAAGAAAATATCAATTCTAAGAAAGCACCCGGGTATGATTTCATCACAGATGAAACACTAAAACAATTGCCAAAAATAGCTGTGGTTAAACTCACTAATATAATAAACGCTGCATTTCGACTACAGCATATACCTAGCATCTGAAGTCACCCAAACCTGGAAAACCACCAAATGAAGTAGTCTTATAGACCCATATCCCTATTACCAGTGCTGTCTATACTTTTCGAAAAACTGTTACTAAAAACATTGAAAAACATGATTATCAAAACCACAAAATAACTACTTAAATAGAGAAAACACTTGAAGAAAAGAAGTGCACCTCACTCTAGATGAGTCTTTCGATAAATTATGGTTAGAGGGCCGTGAATATGAAATAAATAAAACTTTACCTAAGCAATATTGTGACATCTTAAATTCCTAGAAACTAAAGTAAGGGTATCTCAAGGAAATGTTCTGGAGCTAATTCTTTATCTGTTGTTTACCTCCGACATACCACAAACAAAACTATGAAAGTAGCCACATTTGCCGACGACACAGCCATACTTGCCATTGGTAAAACCATAATCGACCAGAAAACTTCAACAGGCAACTAATAAAATCTACGAGTAGACAAAAAGATGGCCCATTAAGCTCAACGAAACAGTTCAGGTTAACTTCACTAATAAAAGATCAGTAGAATACTTACCAGTGTTATTAAATAATGCTAGAATGCCATATTCTAATCCGGCGAAATACTTAGGAATGAACCTAGATATAAAATTAAAGTGGAAAGAACACAAAGTAAAATTGGGAACAGTTGGGTATTAAATATAGAAAATTATAATCGGAAATAAATTTTTAATAAACGGGTACTGAAGCCCAGTATGGACTTCAGTTCTGGGGTGTGCCAGTAAAAATAACAAATATGTTTAAAGAACAGAATATTAAGGGCAATAGTAAACGCTTCTTGGTATGTAAGGAACTCAGACCTTCACAGAGATCTGAAAAAAGACTGCATGACCATGTCAATTACAGTTCCTGGACAACAGACACCTAATGAAAAGGACATTAGTGATGTGAAATTATGTAAAAGCAGAGCACAGTGCGCGTGTGTAGTGAATAGTTCATTAGAACATAAAAAAGATAACATTGGGTGAACTCTTAGTTTTAAGCCTCTTATGT